TGCCGGCTTGACATGTTCATCGGTTCCGAGTGCCTGTAGTTCAAACGATTCTTCCTAGATAAATGTTAATCTCCCGTTGACGCTGATTGGTGCTGGTTGTTGTTGATATTGTTTCGGTTCGGTTACGAGGATTGTGAGATATAAATCACACTATAACTGATTAAAAATGCCTATTAAAATTTTCAGAAGAATGGATACTAAACAAAGATACTCGTTTTCGATAACTTCATCATCAGGCTATATAAGTTATATAAATGAATGAATGAATTTGTGCTCAAGAACATCTCTCACTGTAGCTAAGTAAAGGTGTAGTGAAAACCATTAACATTTCAATATTGGACATCCGGTGCTAACCGGTCACAAAGCCAATGCGTGGAAGAATCCTTCTCTATAATCTACCAGGCGCCTATAAATTGCCAAAATCACGAAGCACCGCATGCTCCAAACAGTACAGGCTATATTGCAGTTCACATCAAACAACCAGTGCTCTGTGTTCAAAAGAAGCAGCTTCAGCCCCTACTGCTGCCCTGACTGGCCAGTTCAGTAGAAACTATAAACTCATGAATTTGTAATATTATCCTTCCTAATTTTTCTGATATTCAGCTTATTTTATGTTGACGCTATTGAGCTGTTATCTATCAATATTATTGATTCGATGTTATTTAAACAGCATTAACGTTGTTCATAACACTAATTTATTCATTCACTATAATGTATATATAACTGCGAAGCCTGATGATGAAGGGGTTATCGGAAAGAGTACTCTTTGTTCGGTATCCATTCTTTTGAAAAAACACTATTCTGTTTAGTAGCCATGATTTTTTCTGTATTTTGTTTAGTTTGAAGGCTAGACTGATTTTGACTAATTAATCCGCATCAGTTAGGTGTTTGGTGATCACACTTGCTATCGCTTTCTTACTTTTCTCACGAAGACTGTTAGTGATATACTCAGGTGATGCTTTCATTTCGGTCCTTCTTATATAAAGGGATGTAAATTGGTAAATAGGAATGGAGTTGATGTCAAGGAACTTAACCCTAACTTCCTATTATTTGCGAAGAAACTCCGAATCGACAATTATACTAGGTACGATTATCGACTTTAACTCCAAAACACAAGGACCAATAAAAACTTGTATTGTTCGGCAGTTAAACTCTTTATCGTACAAAAGCCTATAAACAAATGTTTTACAAAGAATATACTGTACTTTTATTCATATTCTTTCATCTTCTTCCAACTTGTACACGATTGAATCATTTGCACCTTCGAGTTACCCGCCAATGGCTGCCAGTTCCAATAAACAAACGTTCAATGTTCACAGTCCTTTACAGTTGGTATTAACAGGTTACACATCCACTTTGGTCTCTATTACTCTGGTGAGCTGTTCAAAACTTGGGCTACCAAAAAACTTCCATCACTACATTGCATATAATTTCTCTTGTTCATTTTGTTCTAATCAATTAAAATATGATCTTTGAAGGTATTATTTACTCTGTCAATTATTAGAAGTATTTACAACCTGTTGTTTCACCAGTCTCTACTAAACTTAAGAAAAAGCATAGTAGTGGAGGTCAGTGTACATGAGATAACTGTTCCTTATCTATATCCTCGGGTCTTAAAGTTGACTTCTGAACGTTTTATAATCAGCTTCCAACCAAACTTCGTGCATTTGTCGAAGGAGACAAAGATGAAATATCATCAATGAATTAGTTTGTGCTTCAGATCAGACAACATTGTGTCACAGAATCTACAATACGAAAAGAAAATACCATGTAATAAACTCGTCTAAAAATTCTTTACATTCAACAAACATTGTCCAAAATAAAGCCATTAATATTACTCAACATTTCGTGTTACGAGTTGGGATCGATCCTACGATGGGATATATTATTTGAATGTACTTTTAATTCTTTTTCCGATTCTTTTCTATACTTCTTCCCTTTTGTACGCCAGGCAATGATTAAGGTCATTAGACTGGATGTTTCATTTTGAACTTCTTCAAACATCTATTCTGCATTAAATTCTTTCAGATAATAATTGTTAGTTTTTCATTAATCTTATTTTCTGACCAAACTCTTAGTGACCAAAATTTAAAATCAACACTTTTATGGTTCGACCTTTTTGAATATTCGAAACAACGAGTTTTCAGTTGATGCGTCAGCCCCAAAAAGGACAAAACGCGTATTCAGCAGCAGGGAATGCTAATTCCATATTAGTTTCAGGATTTCATCATGAGCTGACATTAATTAGAGAACCACTGGAAAACCTGGGAGTACTGGACAGCTGTTTCGTCCTAGTTTGGGACTCTTCAGCAGTACTGTAGTATTCTGTGAATACCAATGAGATGCTCACTGGCGACTAGCCCTATTCAGGTAGGTAGTTACCTGGGTTCCAGTGGGAAGTCGTGACCAGTAGGGTGCAGCCGGTCGAGTGTGAGGACAAATACTCGCCGAAGACATTGGCTAGCGGTTGCGCTATGTCGTGAATTGGCAGAAGTTAGAATTCACGAACTGACCATTGGATCGTGTCCCACTGGCCTAATGGTCTATGAGCTCGCTACCCTTGTAACTAGGAGGTCCTGGGTTTAAACTGTGGGTGGGTGCGTACTGCTGAAGAGTCCCAAACTAGGACAGAGGAAACAGCTGTCCAGTACTCACAGGTTTTCCAGTGGTTCGCTAATAATGTCAGCTCATGATGAAATCCTGAAACCAATCAAATCCCTACAAACCATCACTTTAATTCCATATTAGTTTGTTTATTAGATGTTTCACTGTATGATCTTTTTTACCGCATTCCCAAGGCGTTATTTTAGTATCTCGCTGATGTCATCTCCGAGGAGCTGAATTTGTAAGAATAAGGCCTTCATTAGGAACTGTTGGTTCTTTGGGCTGCTTTGGTTTTAGATTCATATTCTTATCAATAAACCTTTCTGGATAACTGTTTTCACTCAGCAACCGTTTAATTCTAATAATTTCCTCATCAAGACATTCGTCCGAGCAGATCGCTCTTGCTCTGTGAACCAAGTAGTTTATCAGATTGTGATTGTATTTTAAGGGCACGAACCTAAAGAAATGAGTCTACTGACCAGTTAGTTGATGTAGGTTTTCTATATACACTTCTTTGTATTCCACCATTCTCTTTTCTGGTCATAAAGACGTCTAGAAATGAAATACTAGAGTCTTTTCCTTTCTCAATAGTAAAATGTAATGGAGGATGAACCTCGTTAAATTTGTCCATACAGGATATTCTTTGCTCTATCCCATTTTTCATGATCAAAACTGTATCATTCATGTAACGACAATGGAATTCAAGTTCATCAATAACATCTTTCAATGGCCCATTTTCTAGTTTCGCAAGGAAAATATCGGCTAGAATGGGTCGTAATGGTGACCCTGTTGCCATACCATTGATTTGGCTGTATGGTTCCTTAATAATTAAAAAGTGGACATTCATTGTGCATTTCAAGAGAAGCTTTTTTATATAAGATAAAGGAATGCCAACATTGATGTTTCGTCTTTGGAGTTTTTCGCAAACATCAAATTACAATTCTGTGAACTAAGCTTACACACTTAACATTTATGCATATCATTCATTTTTGTTCTAAGTGAAATATGGGGCTACAGGCTTGAATTTTGAGTTTTCATTAGCGTCAGAGTTTTTGCTTCATGGAGTGGCATTGCTGCCTGATGTTCAACCTTCCTTTTTTTATGGCTTTTTACCTTTTAGGTGAGGGTTAAATATGAGTCGGTGGCGGGAAATCGAGCACTGGATCTCCCATTTATGAGTAGTCTGTGAGCAGTCTACCATTAAACCATCTACGTTTATGTACTTTTAAGTACGAAAAATAACTTAAGGTTTTGATTGGACACTAGCAACCAGTGGGATGTAATTGGTTCTTTCTTTGGTGCAGATTGAAATTTATCAGTCAGGTTTGTAGTGAGTCCACCATTCTAGGTACCTCATCGTCACGGTGTACATTGATTGAATTATTTTAGATGATTGGTGGCAATCGGAAAGAAGACTTGCTTGACCTAGGTTTCGTACTAGTTGGCACTCAGCAGTCAGTTAGCAAGGCGTATCTGCAGTCACTTTGAAGGAACTCATGTCCCACCCCTCTGAATTCGAATCCACAACACCCAGTGCTTCAGTCAGAGACGTTACCACTGAACTATTCACAATCGCGATTGACTCCAGCTACTACAGTCACACAGAAAGTCAATCGCGAGCCAGAATAGCCGACTCAGTGGTAACGTCTCTGACTGAAGCACTGGGTGACGCGGGTTCGAATCTCAGAGGTGTGGGACATAAGATCCCTCAAGGTAGTTGCAGATACGCCTAACTGACTGACTGATGAATGCCAACTAGTACGAAACCTAGGTCAAGCAAAGCTTCCTTTCGATTGCTTCCAACCGTCTAATATCATTAACTTAATGTTTTTACGAGTTCATCGCGAATTGATATCAGTTAGAGAACCATTGAAAACCAGGGAGTACTGGACAGCTGCTGTTTCATCCTAGTTTGAGAATCATCGGCAGTATGCACTCTAGTGAGAAGTCGTGACCAGTGAGGTCCAATTAGATGTCACGTGTGTGGATGGATGTCCCACCAACGACAATGGTTGGGGTCGCGCTAAATCACGAATTGGTAGAAGTTAGAATTCATGAGCCATTGAATAGGGTCCCGGTGGCTGAATGGTATACGAGCCAGCTTGCCTTGTAACCGGAAGGTCCTGGGTTCGAACCCCAGTGAGGTGGGTGCGTACAGCCGATGATTCCCAAACTAGGATGAAACAGCAGCTGTCCAGTATTCCCTGGTTTTCAATGGTTCTCTAACTGATATCAATCTGTATCAACTCGTAAAAACATAACAAACCCTTACAAACCAAACTATAGAAACTTAATGTTTATTATTTTGTATCGATTTAATGCCTAAATTCATTCAGACAATATATATATATATATATATATATATATATATATAAAGTGGTCTATTAGGAATTTTAAAACAGTTATTACATGCAGATATGCGTGGTAGTATAAGGAACATAAGACAATTTATCAAAATCAATAAGAAGTTAATAGTCTTCTGCCCAATCAGATTTTTTAGTGTGTGCACTTATATGTCTCCTCTTATACAGGCACAATTTGACACATATATAGCCTATGAAATGACCACTGTATAGGGAATTAGGGAAATAAGAAGAGGTCAGGCCGAAAGAGTTTTAGATTGGTTATTATTGTTACCATTATTATAATACACCGCTATAGCGGGTATATGCGCTTCTGTGTGTGAGTGTGTGCGTGCGCGCGCGTGTAGGGATAGGCAAGATAGCCCAGTTTTTACACAAGCACCAATTGTCCACGTGCATACCAGTGAAAAAGTCAATAAATTTTCCTTCTCCACAATATAGCCCCCACACAAAACAACATTATTATTAATATTATTATTATCATTATTGTTATTATTTTATTAAGATAAGGTTAACGAACACACAGAAAACACTAAAGTCTACAGAACACCTTTGATCAGTGGAAATTACTTTTATTAATTCAGTACAGTTTTCCTTTTCTTTTTGACATTGACTTTCTACTGACAGAAGTAATTGTATACAACAGCCTCTTCGCCTAAGGAAACATCGAACATCCTTATTTTGTTCCTTCATTCATATACCATCCATATTACATAATAATACGAAATCGTCAATTATTCAATCGATCTATTGAGAAGAAGTAAAACGCCTCTCAAAATTTATTAACATAAGGTAAGTGAAGATTTATCCATTGATTACGTACTTGTTGTTTTCATGACTGTTTGAGCTGATAAGTTTCGCAGATTGACAGATTAATATAGATAACGTTTATGATATAGATATTCTACACTAAGAGTTCCGTCCAATTTGGGACACGCCTGCTAGATGTACCTTCATCCCAATCGGTGAGTGATGGGTAACATTTTCATGGAGAACTGGACTTTGAAGCCCACGTTTCCAGCTGAAGAGTTCAAAATGTTCGCATCCTAGTGGCTAGTGCTAATCAAAAACAACCGTAAAATTAACCTCTCGGGTTAATCCTTAGATATCATTGAAGTCACTTTACTACTTGAAGTCTATAGGTCAACGAAGACATCGGGCATCTTGGTCCAACACGTAATTAATCAATAGCGATGTCGGTAACGTTCCAGCATATATTCGGTGCATGATTTAATGTACAATGAAATAGCTCTTAACCTAATCATGAGATGAATAGTATTCATTTCCTTATATTTAAAATGTTCTTTTTTCATGAGTTTGAAAGCGTTACGCATGATTACAATGACAAAATCTGTAGAGGTGTGTGTGTGTGGTGTAAAAATAGGATGAGATACTATTATAATATTGACTTCTCTAAGCAGTATGGCATATATACTGCGTTAGTTGTTTAATGCATCTTAAAAGATTTCTCACCTCACATTACTGAAGTGAACATTTTTCAGGATACAGGTTTTATCATGAGCTGACAGTGGCTGGAGAACCATTGGAAGACCAGGGAGTGATGAACATTACGTTTCTTCATAGTTTCAGCAGGACTTAAATTAACCGGCATGTTATTATGTTATTCAAGAGACAGGGGATTATGAGTGAACTGGGATTTGAACTCAGGAACTTTTGGCTTCAATGCGAACAAGGTGGTGACTACACTGTATATCATGAATCGGTAGAAACTTTTAATAGTAATAATAATCTACTTTATTCTAAAAACAGCACTACTTATTATAAAGAATGGAATTCTCAGCATTTTTCACAACACCTTGCATCTGATTTATTTCAGATATAATTAAAATTAAAAAAAAAGTAACCAGAGGAATTTGTCCATGTTAACGATATAAAGTCAAAAATATTCGAAGGACGAATTGAGAATATTAGATATAATAATAATAACAGTGAGTTTGTTTCAAACAGTACTGTCGGTTCAGTTTGGGAACTCATTGGCTGAATGATTTACGAGCTCGGTGCACATAAACCTCTGAAAAGTCCTAAACTAAGCTGAGACGAGTGTACATTACTTGTGATAAAACCTGTAACTAATCAGCTCCCTGCAAGCCAACTCTTGAAGAAAAACTCTTTCAGGATATTCGTAACAACCCCTTGCAAAAGTTTTGTATATGCCTCTATGCGTAATATCAATAGCACAATTAAAACAAATGACTTCCTGACATCTCTAGAGTGTAATTCTCAAATAGGCATAGATGATTTAAATCTACCTTTCAGGCTGGAAGAATCATTGAGATTAGTGAAATTTAATATTGTATTACCTATTGTCTTCTTTAGAAACCAATAAAAAGGTGTTCCTCGGCGCTTAGATGAATTACATCTCAACTTATCATGAACACAAGTCAAATGTGGTTGAAATGAAAGGTGCCTTTTTGTATTCCATTCAGAAATCTCCAGGAATGACAAATCTTCTACTTAATATTTTTATTGCGTAACTCCAAAGTATAGTCTGGAAAAGAAGCTGATGCGTAGAACATATGCAATAATAAGTGTACACCACAGAAGGAGGAGGGTTTATTCTACGTATGGAGCCACCAGTTATAATTGCTGTAGATTTTTTTATATTTCTCATATTAGAACCACAACCTTTAGCCTAAAATATGACTTCATAGCAATGGGCGTCGTAGGTCCCAAAATCGGAGCTGGATTTCGCTCCAGTGGTTGAATGATGAGTTGACTCGCTTAGTAAACTGAAATTACTGAGGTTACAGATGAGTACTTCTGAAAAATTCTAAACAAGGACAAGACAACTAACCATCCAGTACTTCCTGTCGGTTTACAATAGTTCTTTAACTGATGTTAGATGGCGGTCTCACTTAACCTTACAGTAGCATTATACAGAGTTTATTTAAAATTTATTTTTGCCTTTAACAGCAAGTGATTTTTACAAACAAATATATAGATTATTTATTCTTTTTTTAATTTTTTATTCCTGTACGTTTCCAGTGGAACATAGGCCGGCTTCAAGCTAGAGACTTGAAGTTTCACTAGCAGTGATGTTGTTAGAGTCATGCCCAACCATTTGCTCTTTACCAGTCTTATTACTGGTTTAGTGAGGTAAAGGAGTGCATCAGTGGCTGGGAATCGAACCCCGATCCACATGAGGCATGGTTGGCAAGCATTCTATTGTTGTGTCACTGAATCACTAGGGCACGACTGACGAAGATTATTGATTCGTAGAAATAATATTTTGAATGCATTAACACACTGTCATCAGACTGCACAGATAAGCGATTCTTCGATGAATTACTTGATCTTTTCTATTTCATTCGAAATTAGCTCATATTTTTTCTGAATGCTGGTTGTACACAAAAAAAGGAAACCTTCCGTAAGAACTATTTGGGGGTGGGGTGGGGTGGGGTGCGGTAGGAGATAAGCATAAAATAGATACGCTGTAGTTAAATCCTTCAGAAGTGTAGGTAAAACTAAGAGCAACATTTATTTGTGTAGGGTGTTGTTTGAAAAAAATGGACGCTTGATTATCATCTCTCTGTTATACGTATTCCATGAGTAACTCTATTAACTGAACAAGTTGTACAATGAAGAATAAGTTTAGGCCAAGGCTAGCCTCATTCTATCTGTGATAACGACAAAATGACGATAAACAACCATACTCTCACCCTCCTCCTTGAATTTCATTTTTGTGTATTGTAAGTAAACATCTAACAGCAATTTAATTTTACATTCCTTTGCGTTCCGACTGGAAAATAGGATTTCAAGGTTTCAGCTTAGTAGTTCCAGCAGCCCTGGTATCGTCAATATTTACAGTATACAGTTATTAGCCTCAAGCTCCCAAACCTTACCTCTTTTCCCAGACTTATTAACAACGAGAGGAGGCTTAGTAGTGAGTCAATGGCTCGGAATCCACCCCGAAACTACGTGCACTTGATTTGCAAATATTCCACAATGGGACAAGTGAAACACAGCAATAATACATATTATAAATTCAGTGTGCAGTCTGAACTGAGAACAAAATATTACATAGAGGATTTCATCATGAGCTGATATCAGTTAGAGAACCACTGGAAAACCAGGGAGTACTGGACAGCTGTTTCCTCTGTCCTAGTTTGGGACTCTTCATCAGTACGCACCCACCACACGAGGTTCGAATCCACGACCTTCTGTTTAAAAGGCTAACTCGTAGATCACCGATCCAATGGGCCTTGAATTCTAACTTCTTCCAAATCAAGCAAGACATAGCGCGACCGTTTCGCAATGTCTTCTTCGATGAGTTACTGCCTCATCTTCGACCTTCTGTATCCTACTGGTCTAGGAGCTCGCCTTGTAACCAGAAGGTCCTGGGTTCGAACCCCGGTGGGTACGTACTGATGAAGAGTCTCAAACTAGACCGAAACAGCTGTCCAGTACCCCCAGGTTTTCCAATGGTTCTTTAACTGATGTCAGCTCATAACTAAGTCCTGATTGCAATCAAACAAAATCCTTACAAATCGAATACTCCAAAAACAAAATATTAGTTTTAACGCATATAAATAAGAACTGAAAATACGACTTTCCTGTTTTGTCTGTGAAAGCAGTCACTTCCACAAACATTAGCATCGTCTTCAATGGTCTCAAGAAGAATAAAAGTCTGCGAAACGTTAAGCCTTGACAACAAATATCCCCCTAAATACTTTAACCTACAGAAAAAGTATTGAATGACGAAACTTTCATTTATGAAGTGTAAAATTCAAAAAAAGATATAGAAGTGGTATTTGAACAAAGCAATAACCATAACACTTGAATCAGGATAAAAACATGGATCCGTTGTTTATATAGTCAGTCGATATCTTCTCATAAACCAGCTGTTTAGACAACTTGAATAATGAAAGTTAATACTTTCCCTTGTTACAATTTTAGCACATTATCTTATCAATCATTAAGCGTCATTAGTAGCGTCACTGCTGGAACATTCACCAAACAAGAATGTAGTCCGGAGTTTGATTCCCACCTGATATACTCAAGGCTGGAAGCGTAAGGCAAGGAAACCCACTCCATACAAAAGAACACAACTAGTGGAGCTTCAATCTCAAACCTGGAGCCCTATGTTCCACTACGGATGAAAAGGAACAATCGTAATAATTAATAATTAGTTCGTTGGAGAAAGAAATTCGGAACAATATTTATGTTTTTCTTAAGTTTGGTTTGCAAGGGCTAGTTATGTTTTCCTTACGAGTTGATCACGAATTGATGTCAGTTGGAGAATTATTGAAAACCAGGGAGTACTGGACAGCTGCTGTTTCATCCTAGTTTGGGAATCATTGAGCTTGCCTTGTAGCTGGATGGTCCTGGGTTCGAACCTTTTGTGGTGGGTACGTACTGCCGATGGTTCACAAAACTAGGATGAAACAGCTATCTGACAGTACTCCCTGGTTTTCAATGGTTCTCTAACTGATATCAATCCTTGATCAACTCGTAAAAACAATATTTACGAATGATCATAGCATGTATACGGATGAATAGAAATATTAAGTTCGTAAAATATAAAATCACTACTGAACTTAAATGCTCAATATGATCAGATATACCCCAATAAAAAAGAACTAAAGAGGAGAGCACAGGTAGCAACAAGGTATTGAGGTAAATAAATGATACGATGACGTAAGTCAATAGAAATATATACTGTGAGTTAAATTCATTTAGCTAAAGATCAGACATATGAAATACAATGCTTCATAATTGATGACGTATAACTTGGTCCGAGGTTCGAGTCCTAGTTGTCTATAATCCTGAGA